ACTTCCTGCTTCCTGACATAGCAAGATGTACAGAGTGCTGGCCACATGCTCCTGCAGTCATGAACTCCATCATGCCTTCCTTACCATGACGGACTCTCTTGAATCATGAGCCAAAATAAATTCCTCTTCCCTCAAGTTGCTTCTATCATGTATTCTGTCAGAGCAATGTGAAAAGTACACAATAGTTAATATTTGATAGATTTACAACACGCCCCCACGGTTGGGTATGTCCAGAGGACCTAGACACTTCCGCCTAGCCAGTTCCAGGTCAAAATAGCCATTTCCGGGCCAAGGCGTCTCACGTGACCAGGACCCCGTGGCTTTGCATGGTTGCGTAAGAGCCCACAATGCAACCATGTGATCTATGCGCATGCGTGGAGTAGCCACATCGACCTGTGTACACATGCGCCACCCAGCCTTTATAAGCTGGCACCATATTCCCGGCTTTCTTCTTCTTCTCCTTCTCCTTCTTCTTCTTCTCCACACACGTGTTTCTTCCACAGGCCTGAGCATTTGTCTGTCCTTTTATCTTAATAAAACTCTCGTTAGTGGATTCTGTCATGTTTTGTGACATTTCCTTGCAGGGTAAGAGCGCCGCAAAATAACTAACAATATTGACTTTGAACGCTTGGTAATTCTACTGCCTCTGCCCAAGATTACAAGTGTGAATGACCACAGCTGGTCCTGGGAATCATGTATGCAACAACCCGTGAGGCTAATACGTACAACCTAGAGGCTCCTGGTCTACATTCTTGCTGCTGGGTGATCTGTACATCAGTAGCCTCAGTCCAAGCTATACAGAATCTCAACTCTACACCAGACTTCATGAATCTTGTTGAGTTGTTCAAGGGACTTGTGTATACAAGAAAGTTAAAGCTGTTTTATAGTCCTTCTAGACCCAGCCCCAGGACTGTGTAATCCACTTCAGCATGTAGGGGCAGGGATTATTGATCTTAGTTCCCTTTATCAATCATTCCTTTGTTGATTTTAGTCATTTCCAAGGTTTTAAACGTCATTTTGTTGTACCTGTTTCGAGAAACCCCCAGAGACCACCTAGGAGCCGGTTTCCAATGCAAACACATAAGGGTCCTTTTATTCAGGTTCAACCTGGGCCTCCGCATGGCAGGTGGAAGGAAATGTGGCAATGGCCATGAGCCCAGGTGTAGAGGGTTTTTATAGGGAAAAACCACAAGCTGGGAATTGGCAACTTGGGATTGGGTAGAAGGGGCAAGGTGATTTTTTGAAACTATTGGTCTAGACTTTGGGCACGAAACCACAACCCGCTGAACAGGATTATCTGGACTGCTCAGCAGGATTATCTAGATATCTCTAAGGGCCATAAATCACAGACAGGATCTTGTTAAGATTTCCTTTCCTGTATAAACAGCAGACAGGATGTCTGCAGGAGTATCTGGATCCTGTTAAGCTTTCCTTTAAACAGCAGACAGGCTGTCTGCAGGAGGATACTGTTCTGTACCTGTTCTTGAGTTGTCATGGCATATTCCTGAGCCTATAAAGTTAAGTCTAGGCCTTCACAATTTAACATCACAGCCTAAATCTTTTTCTTTAGCCCAACACATCTCCCAAATAGCTCCTAATTCATCGGTCGAGATGCCAAGTCCACTACTTCATTTGAATTTCTCCACCCCTGTGAAGAGCAATTTCATCCTTAATTTACACAATCTTCATTTTCCGAGTCTTCCTTTGTCCTTATATTCAATTTAATCCAGTAAATGTTGTTGTTGTGCCCAGATCATTACCCCCAGAGAGACCACCAAAGACGAGAATACCGGAATGCAAAAGCAAGGTTTAATTCTGGATATCCAAAAGCAATACAAGCCTAGGCAGGGACTTCGTCCAATACATCCAACGCAGTGGAGGCTGGAGGAAGTGCCCGCCTGTCTGCAAGCTCAGTTTTTAAAGGGAAAAATCACAAGGTTACATCATTTAGGGGTGCTAGTACAGGCACAATTCTGATTGGCTCGCTTCTAGGGACTTCTAGAAATTACTTCTAAGGGAGTGGTTGCCCGCCACCATTTCTCATTGGCTGCCCTCAGGTGGGGACATTTCTGTGGTCAGTTACCCTGGAAACCAGGGAGAGGACATTCCATAGTCTGGCAGGCATTACCTCGTGACTATCTTGTGACTTTTACATTTCCTGATTTCTGGAATCTGGACTGACTTGTTTCAGTAACTACTGACCTATTCCTAGAAGGAGAAATCTTAGGCCTTAGTTTTTGGGTGAAAGCAATTTGGTCTCACATTGTAATGTCCATATTTAAAATAAATCTGAAACACAGTTGTTTGCTACTTTTCTTTTTCACACATATCCTAGGGAGAAGCAACCAACATCTCTAGCCTGGAAAGCTGGACAGACTTCCCAATGCCTTCTCTACTGCCTCACCAAACAAATTCATTTCTCAGCAGGGCCCCAGAATTTGGGCAAAACAAAAAACAACCAGATATCCTCTACCTCTGTCTCTCAAGTACTGAGATTAAAGAATGCACCACGATGTTTTGGCTTTCTGAAACGGTCTCCAAGATGAGGCTAATCTTAAATGCATTATGTAGCTGAGAGTGACCTTGACTCCTGATCACCCACCTAAATTCTGGGATTATAGACATGAGCCACCACTTTTGATCATTTATTATTTAACATTTTCTTTCTCAGCATGTTGCTTTACTTATATATAGAAAAACTGCTAGTGTTTACTCTGTTGATTTTGTATAATGCTTTGTTGAAATGGTTTATAAAATCTAACCATTTTCTGGTGGAATCTTAGGGGTCTTTTAAGTATAGGGCTCTTGTGTCATCTGAAAATCAGATTAAGGTCACTTGTGCCTGATTGTACCCTTCTCTCTGCTTTATTGCCCTATCACTACACTGAATACCTGTCTCATTTTGGTTTACAGGAAAAGCTGAGTTTTCCTTCACTTAGTAAGAATGGTGGCTATAGTTCTGTCGTGTAAGGCCTGTTTTCCTGTTTTTGGTTGAGGTATATTCTATCTTTTTTTTTCTTCTGGGCTCATGGAGATAGACTGAACTGTGTTAAAAAGCCTGTTCTGAATTTGAGATAACCATGTGATTTCTCCCTTTGAGTCTATTTACCTGATGTATGTATTGCATTTACTGACTGGCATATGTTGAACCATCCTTGTATCCCTAGAATGAAGCCAATTTGACCATGGTATATGACTTTTAGAAATATATGTTAAATTTGGTTTATAAGTACTCTTGAGAATTTTTATATTCATGTTCACCCAAGAAATTGGGCTTTAATTTTTAGTGTTCTTATTCAGTTTGGCTAGCTTCATAAAATCAGTTTGGTGGTGTTTCTTCTCTATTTTATGGAATAATTTGAGGAGCATTTGTCTTAATATGTAAATATCTGGTATTCAGTTCAGCAGTGAGTCCATCTGGTCCTGAGTTTTTTTAATTGGGAGACTCTACATTACTGTATCTAAAGACAAATTCAGCTATTTCCATAAAGAAGTTGTCTACAGCACTCTTTCATTCTCTTTAAGGGATTAGTGAACCTCAGAATTACAAAGGAAACTAGACTGATAACTAATATAAGATGAGCAGTATCTTCTCATACCAGCAAACAGTGCCAAACACAGAAAGCTGATATGGCGGGGATTGTCATCCAGAAGACAGGAACGGTATTTATCCAGGCTGGACTGCATTTGGTGGGCAATGCCAAATGTGGCGATTTATACTCAACCAAATTAGACACCGTCAAAAAACAAATTACATTCAGTTCCTCAGTACACTAGCCACATTTTGAACAGTGAATGACCACATGCAGGAAGTGGCTACTCTTCTGAAGAACACAGATACAAGACATTTGTATTACGGCAAGAAGTTCTCTTAGACAGCACAGAGCCAATGATATTCCGGCAGTGCAGACCCTGGGTATCAGAAGTGTTACAGACTGAGTGCACATCCTTAGGACGCCCAGGTTTTACTTCTCTGGTTCTCTACTCAGCAACCATGAATTCTTACTTTCTCAACTTTTTGTTATCAAGAAAATGATCTGGTGAGCTGGCTCAGCAGGTAAAGGCATTTCCTATCAAGATTAGAGACTTGAGTTCAATTTCTGGAACTCATATGGTAAAAAGAGAAGTATCATCCACATACATACAAACATAGACACATACTCATGAAATAAATGTAATAATAAAGAAAATTAATTGATGGGACTGGGGAGATGGTTCAGTCGTTAGGAGTACTGGTTACTTGTCCAGAGGACCCAAGTTCAAATGCCAGCACCTGCATGGTGTCTCACAACTGTCTGTAACTTCAATTCCAGGAGATCTGATGCTCTCTTCTGGTGTCCCTGGATACCAGGCATGTAAGCATGTACATAGTGCACAGACATACATGCAGACAAAACACCCATATGCATAAATTTTTTTAAAAAAAGAAAATGAAGCTGGGTATGATGACACACACCTTTAATCCCAATCTGGAGGCAAAGGCAGGTGGATCTCTTATGAATTCAAGGCCTATATAGTGATTTCCAGGACAGCCAGGGCTACATAATAGAGAGACCACGCGCATGTGCGCACACACACATATAAACACACACATATATAGACATAGACACACACACACACCACTCACACACAACGAATAAATATAATCTAAAATGTTTTGAAAGGATAATTTGAACAAACACAAAGTAATTAGAAATAGCTAGGCAAACTTTTAAGCCTAGACTATCTCATAACTATGTATGTATGTAATAGAAATAGCACCATTCATCAACTTATGCAGACAACCAGAACACAAAAAACAGGTTCATATAAGAATCCTGGTTTCAGCCCAGCAGCGGTGGAACACACCTTTAATCCTAGCACTCAGGAGGCAAAGGCAGGCAGATCTCTGAGTCTGAGGCCAGCCTCGCCTACAGAGTGAGTTCCAGGACAGCCAAGGCTACACAGAGAAACCCTGTCTGGAAAAGCAAAAAAGAAACATGGTTTCATCACCAAAGCTCTGAAACTTTACTGATCCTTTATTTTTCCTATTTGAGTTCTCAAAAAGGGTGGCACAGCCAAGAATCTCTTTCCATAAGGTTTTATAATTGTGCTCACTTTCTCTTCGTCTGATTTCTCCCTGAGAATATCCACTTTAATCCGACTTGTACTGGATGGCTGGAAAAGAGGGTAGGCGACAACCTTTTCAAACTCTTTGGTCTCCTTCTTCACTCGACCACGCCTCTCAGGTGGTGGAATCTGGCTCTGGCTTTTTCTCAAGATTCTTTCTTTGAGTCTTTGCTCTAGAAGTTCCCTCCCTCGAATCATGCGTTCCTGATGGCCTTTGATTTGGAGCAGTTCTCTCTCTGTCACCTGCCGCCTTCTCTCTGCTTTCGGGATGATAGTCTTTTCTGGCACAATTTTGGGTAGTGTTATTTCACTGAGGAGTCGTGTCTGTCTCCAGGTTTTATTCTTAAATTCTCTGGCCTGGCCTGTTCTAAGGATGTGCCTTTCTATTTGTTTCTTCTCTCTCTCGGGCACCCAATACCGCAGCTTCTGTCCCTCTGTGGTTGGTGGTGTTTCCTCTTCCACTTTCACCTTTGTGTCTCCGCCGGTGTCCTCTCTTTTCATCATCTCCACAATTTTCTTATTGTAGTAAGACTCTGCTTTTGCAAGCCAGTAGTCAAGAGAGTGAGCTTGCTCCCTGCAGAGTTCTCTGCTCTCCTCCCGGCATTTCTGAGTTACCAAGTGTCTTGCTGCTGTCGTATGCACACCACCAAGACTCTGTCAAAGGGAGGTTCAGAATTTTATCATTTTTCCCTTAAACACATTTAAAAGCAGTTTGCCTTCCTCACTCCTATTAAGGAAGGAGTCTTGGGCCAGAAGTAGTGGCATATGCCTTAATGTCATAAGCAAATGGATACACACACACACACACACACACACACACACACACACACACACACACCCCTTTTATTTACTTTAGAGTAAATAAAAATTTAAATTTTAAACCCTATCCTCCCAGGCAAGTCTGGTTGTTCTGAAAGTATGCAGTACCCGTCCCCAGTAAATAACTAGTTTTTAAAATAGAGAGCCCTGGAAGTTGGTGTTGGGATAATTTACAAGAGTGGAAGCTGCTGCTGCTACCGGAGTACTGCCCCAAAGTGTCACCAGTGCAGGAGGACTTTAAGCCTCAGTTTCCTTTTCTGGGTAGCTCCAAACTGTAAAGTATTTATTTACAACTTATTTACCAGGAGCCTTTTCTCCAGTGGAGACTGTTGACCTTCTGCAATCCTAGGGTCTCTGGATGCTTTTGCCCAAGCCAATCTGGAAGATAGAAAACCAAAGGTAGATTGGAATGTGGGAGATGACACATTTGCTCACCAATCCCCAGTCAAAGAACTCAAATATCTGGCCAGGAACAAGGGCCTTTTCTCCATTGAGAAATCACTGCATTTTCCGTAGTGCAAAATAATGAAGATCATTCTTTTTATATGAACTAAAAGCATACCTCTCCTTTGGACTCAACGTGAACCACTCAGAATCTTGTATTTGGGACTGAAAGAGTGGAGGAACAGGCTCTTTGGTCAGGGGTGGCCTAAGGACTCCCAAACCAGACTGATCGGTCTCAAAGCCTCTTTTGTCTTCGGAGGTAATTCTAGTCTCTCGCTTTGTCAGTTCATTGTCTTTCTGCACTTTGTCCAGCCAGGCCCTTTGTGCCTCTATCAGCACATACAGCATCTTTGCTTTGTTTTGTTCTGAAATTCTATTCTGGTTTGATCATCTGGCCCTCTGCTTGACTGACTGACATTGTCAATCATCCTTCCCTAAATCCGTTTGAGACTACTCCCTGTTAAAACCCTGCAGGCAGAGCTTTGTGGCCCTCTGTGTTTGTTTACCAGGCTGATGGCACCACAAGTGAAGACCACCAAGTTTTTATGAGTCATTCCTGCTCAAACTTGAGTTTACTGTGAGGTCGCATTTAAGCCACTGAAGCTGTCTAGCACACAGCTTGCAGACCCTCAAACTATGGTCAAAAGCAAAGGCTTTAAGGACAGGAATAAAACTGAACCACAATTCTATTTCCTCAGTGTATGACGCAGGGCAAGCCAACTAACTTCTGTGTCAGTTTCCTTATTTATAAAATGAAGATGTAAGACAAGATCCACCTCTCAGGGTCATAAAGAACAAATATGGTTTAGTGTGAGGAGAGTACATGGTAAATTTTCAGGAAATGTCAGCTACCTGTCCTTTACAGGTAAGCTCCCTTTGCAGGTAAGCTCCCTTTGCAGGTAAGGCCCTTGGTCTCTATGAAGTTTTCCTTGTATACTTCATAACAAGGATTCTCCCTTCCTCTGAGGAGTTTTCATTTTTACAACTCACTTTAAAAAAAGCAATCACTATCAGGGGCTGGAGAGACGGCCCAGTGATTAGGAGCACTGGCTGCTCTTTCAAAGGACCTAGGTTCAAGTCCCAGCACCCACATGGCAGCTCATAACCATCTATCTGTAACTCCAGTTACAGGGAACCATATACCCGCTTCTGACCTTCATGGGCACCGGGCATGCAATGTGATATACATACATGCATGCAGACAAAACACTTAAACACATAAATAAACCTAAAAATATCTGTAAAAGTTACTCTATTATGGTATCTATGGTCATATATAACAACATTTTGATGTTGAAATTTAGAAGTGCACGAATTATAATATAAATCTACAAGTAATTATTTATAATATTGGAGAGGCTCTAATATATAATATTTTGCCTCACTGATTTTAGACATGCTTTTAAAAAAGGCTTTTTATTTCTATTTTTAATATGTTTTGCCTGCATGTATCTGTGCACCACATGTATGTGGTGCACTCAGAAACCAGAAGAGGGCATCAGATTCTCAGTTGTGAGCTGCCGTGTAGGTGCCACTAGGCCATCTCTCAAGCCCTTCTTAGACATTCTTATTTGCTCGTACTTTGAGATTGCAAATTATCACCCTAGAACTTGGCATGGAGGTTTCATGCATGTAATCACATTTATGAGGCTGAGGCAGGAGTACTGTGAGTTCTAGGTCAGCCTAGGCTATGAGACCCTGCCTTCAAAAAATAATAATGACCATCTCACTTGCATTTCTTCTTTATAAAATATGTATTTTTATTTTATGAGCATAAGTGTTTTGCTTTTGTGTCTGTTTGGGTACCACTTGCTGCCAGGTGTCTGTAGAGGCCTGAAGAGGGCACTGAATCTCCTGGAACTGGAGTTAAAGATAGCTGTGAGCACCCATGTGATGTGGATGCTGGGAAATTAACCAGGGTGCTCTGAAGAGCAGCCAGTGTTCTTAACCACTGAGTCATTTCTCCAGCGCCATACTTTCATTTCTTGCAAAAGGCACCTAGTATAGTACTATGATCATAAGTCTCAAAATTATGACTGTTTATTATCACACAGTAGCTAAGTATTCCCTCATAACTATCTCAGGGTTGGGATTTAACTCATTAGTAAACGGCTTACCTACCAAGGCTCTGGGGTCCATCCCAGTACACATACACACCGTATTTGTTTTAGAAATAGGGGTTCACCACATATGGAGGCTGGTTTAGACCTGGCTTTGCAGCCCAAGGTGGCCTCAAACTCACAGCCCTCCTGCTTCAGCTCCCCTAGTGCAAGACACAGGCATGTACCACCACACACACAGGCATGTACCACCACACACACAGGCATGTACCACCACACACACAGGCATGTACCACCACACAGGCATGCTGCGTTTTTCATTAGAGCATGGACCTGTCCTCCATGAAGGCTACAGGTATATCGCTGGCTCAAGCACCTACTAGTGCACTTTCTCCACATTCAAACTATTCATTTGTACTGAAAGAGAAAACAGATTTCAACTATGCAATCCCAGTCTCAGCTCCAAACCTGGCTCGGGTGTGCAGTCTTTATTGGATGGATGGAGCTTTTGTTGAGAAAGGAACATTGTGCCTTATGCTGTTTGTGTTCCTTCACTGCATCAAAGGTAGCTGTGGAACCATAGTGGATGTCTGACGTCGAACTTTAAAGGGAAAGTGGGGCTAATTTAAATTTCTACTTTGAAAGAAGACACAGAGGTGAAATTTGAAGTTTCACCTACTACCATGGGCTCAGCAAGTGCTTTGCTAGACAAGCAAAATGACACCCAATTTCACCCCTAAGTAAAATGATGTCCTTTTGACATCTTGCTAAGGGTTTTTTTTTTTTAACTTCCCCATGGTTTTATCGCACATTAATTGCATGCACAGAAAGACAAATAAGGGTTTCTCCTAAGTAAAGAGTAGAGTTTGTGTCCTATAAGACCAGCCTTAGCATGGTATTCAGGTTGGCGGCAGGAGGGCTGGGAACGCTAACTTCAAGCTCGTCCTTCTTCAGCACACAAGTTTTCCTTCCTTTGTAGGCTTCCAGTGAGTGAAATACTTACCCTGTTGTTCACTTGGTGGTTGGCGAGTATTTAAACCCGGGTGAATGGGAGCTTAGGGGAGTGGAAGATGGTCTGCAAGAGAAAGCCAAATCTAATCCCTACAAAATCAAAAGAGGCGCTTTTGATTAATGCTAGCCTCTGTCATCCGGCAAGAACACAAGGAGGTAAGAGCCCTAATCTCAGGTGTTCCACCACTTCCAAATCCCTAAAATCCTCCTCAAATGTCTCATTTCCCCTCTGCTTTCACCCTCACCATTCCTTAGGAAGCCGACTCGCTCAAGGGCTCAGAGCGACAACGGGGGGGGGGGGGGGGGGGGATGCGCAAGAATGCTCCTTAGCTTTGCTTTTAGCCACTGAGCAGCCGCAAAATACAAAAAACGTCTCAGGAACCGGCGTGAGTTGTCATTGTCTGAACCCGACGGAATCAGTTGCTCTGGAAAAATTAGTTTTAGGGGGACGTTCCCAAGCCCCTTCCCCTGCTAAGTGTAGGATTCCCTACGAAAGCAGGGATTTGTGCGGAGCGGGAAAGTAGCGGGTGGCCTAACACTGGCTACTTGCCTTTGCTTAATCGACGTCACAGTAGTAGTGGGGCCTCCAATTCCCTTTCGTTAGAAGTTCGGCTCCCTCTCTAGAGCTCGCTCGACTAAGTGCGCCATTAATTATGACGTCACGACCCAACGGCCGCCAGGCTATGAGGGCGCTCTAGCCCGCCGAGCGCACTCGCTGCCCGGCCCTTGCGATCGGCCGCTCTAGCCCGCGGCTGGGGTCTGTGCTCTCGCCGCTTCCAGCTTGCGTCCCACCACGCACGGTTCCCCGCAGGCTGAAGTTCCGGACACCTCGTACTGCACACGTAGCTGTCAGAGGACCTGGGGGCGGGGGGTGGACTCAGGTAATTACGGCCGGGGACGCGATGAGGAACCACCTCCAAGGCAAGACTCTTGCGTCTCACTAATCGTCCCTCCGTCCCCAGGTCTCATCCGCCATGGAGCTGACCAGCCCCTGCTCCAGCTTTCAGTCAGACTTGGATTTCTGCCCAGATTGCGGCTCTGTGCTGCCGCTGCCTGGAGCTCAGGATACTGTCATCTGCCCTCGCTGTGGCTTCTGCATAGACGTGCGAGGTGAGGGGTTAGTAGGCTGGACCCAGCCGAGGGTCCAGGTGGAGAGGTCGGTGGTGGAGCGTGACCTCAGCACTGGTTGGGATTAGGGAGGCGAGACCCAGAACTGGAATCTGTCTGTCAGACTGACCCAGGGAAGAAACCCGAAGGGAGGATGTGACCCACCTGCGAGAGTGTTGCTGGGATTTGTTGCCTCCTCGGCCATTTCTACTGTTAATTTTTTACTCCCTGCGCAGATTTCGAAGGGAAAGTTGTGAAGACCTCAGTTGTGTTCCACAAACTGGGGGCAGCCATACCTACGTCTGTGGACGAGGGACCTGAATCCCAGGGACCAGTGGTAAGTTGATTAGGACTGGTTTCCAAAGAACAGTGATTGTGGAGACTTGGTTTTGCGCTCCATTCCAGGAGAATGTGTGGGGGGTGTAACAGTTTGATTCCTGTACGAAAGCAGAGCTTTATTGTGAGTAGGTCTCCATAACCCATCTGTTTCTTCCTAGGTTGACAGGCGCTGCCCTCGATGTGGTCATGAGGGAATGGCATACCACACCAGACAGATGCGCTCAGCTGATGAAGGACAGACTGTCTTCTATACCTGTATCAATTGCAAGTGAGAATCTTTTTCCCCTCCCTCTGCCCTTTTCCAGTATTTGCAAACAACAAAAGCAGTGACAGACTTGTACTAAGCATTTCATTTGGTCCAGTCCATAACAGTGGTGGCAACTGCTAAGCTTTCTCAACTGCTCCCTTACTCTTTTGACTGTCAGTGAACTAAATCTTTTAAGATATAAGAGGAAAGCTGGGTGTGGTGACCCGAAGGAAGATCATTCATTCAAGGCCAGCCTGGGCTACACCGAGACTCTCACACACATAAAAAGCTACTAGAAAGGGAATTTTAAAACACAGATGTTGGTTTGCATAGTGGTACAAAGTGCTGAAATCTTTCCCTGCAAAAGGGGTGACTTTGGTTACTTAATCTTGCATGATTCAAAGAACACGGTCTGAATGGTTTGAAACAATCTTTGTCTTGGTGGTGGTTTAGCTCCACTGTAGAACATTAGCATGTGGCTTTCTGTATTTTTGCTTTTTGTTATTGTTTTCCTCTTCCTGGGGTACTGCCAGCTTTATTCCAGGGCCTCAGGCATGCTAAGGAAATGCTCTACCCTCAGCTGTACCCTGACCTCTCTTCTTATATTTGCCCTGTTTAGGATTTTAATTAGACTTTTCCTCTTTCTTTTTTGGTTTTCTTATCCTCCTGTTTCCACCTCTCAAATGCAAGGATTACGAGCATGGGCCACCACAGCTGTTTCTTATGGTGCTGAAGATTCAACTCAGTTTCATGAGAGCTGCATAAGCACTCTACCAACTGAACTACATGCCCAGCCCCTTATTAGGCTTTCTGAAGCCAAGAACTGATTTCTATATCATCAACCTTGGAAATGTATCAGTTGTTATCTCATTCCAATATTCCCTGTCCCCCATGTTCTCAAATTAGTTATTAGACTTTCACATTTCTCACCTTGTCTTCTATATTTTCCATCCCATTGTTTATACTGTCTTCTGGGTAATTTCTCCAAATCTTTCCTATAGGTCATTAATTCTTTCTTCAATTTGTATGTGTGTATGGTGGTGGAGTGTTGTATGTGTGGTGTATTCATGTGTTCATGTGGATGTATGCATATATTTTTGTCCATATGGAGGCCAGAGTTAGGCATTGGGTGGCTTCATCAAGCGTCTTTATCTCTTCTTTACTTTTCTTTTAGTTTTGAGACAGGCTTTCACTATATTCTTGGTTGATGTGGAACTCTGTGTAGACCAGGTTAACCTCAAACCCACAGATACCCATCTGCCTCTGCCTCCAGAATGCTGGGATTAATGGTGTGTGCTACCACTTCCAGCTCTCTACCTTATCTTTGGAGGCAGAGTCTCTGAGCCTGGAGCTCAGGCTAGGCTGGCTACCCAATGAGCCTTAGACATTCATTCTCCTATGCCTCCCAGCCCAAGTGGAGTCCATTCTGTCCATGTGGACCATGACACCCAGCATTTTCTTTATTTTTAAGGGGTGCTGGGAATCCGGACTCAAGTCCTCACATATGTGCAGCAGACACTTTACCACCTGAGCCGTCTCCTCAGCCCCTCAGTTATTACTGCTTGTTTTCACACCTCATGAATCACCTGAACAATTTAGCCCATTAGTCATTTAAAAAATCTCAGTCATTTTATTTAACGTTTATTTTATTATTGTATGTGTATGAGTGTTTTGCTTACATGTATGTAAGTGCACCATGTGCATGCCTGGTACCCACATAGTCAGAAGAGATGTGAGACTCCCTGGGACTGGAGTTACAGATGGTTGTGAACCACCGTGTGGGTGCTGGGAATCAAACCTAGATTTTCTGCAAGAGAATCTCTTAACCACTGAGCCAACTCTCCAGCTCCCATTAATTATTTTAAGTTGCTCCTTTTATTCTTTAAATGTATATTAGATACATTAAACATGTTTATATGTGTGTGTGGTATTTCTGATATCCATTGTTTTTTCTGGGTCTGATGCTATTTCTGCTGACTTCCTCATGGTACTTTTTAACTTTGTAAATTTTGACTGTATGCCAGTTTCTTAGAACTTGAACTTCGGGTTTCTTAAGGTCTGGGTGAATGCTGCATTCCCAGCATCTGTAGGCTTCTTTGAGATTGATCTGTGCCACCATGTCCAGCTACAACATTTTTATGAGGTCCAGTTTATCTTTTTCCTTTTCTTGGCTAGTGCTTTTTCTGTCCTGGGAAATCTTTGCATACTTTAAGGTAATGATTAGCTATTAGTTACCTTGAGGTTAGAGTTGAAGGATTGTGGGGGAAGGTCACCCATCCCTGTCATAAGAAAAAGTCCTTCAGGGGTTTTTATCTTATCTTGCGGTGCTAGAAATTCTTTTTGGTTAAGTATAACAAGTCCTTTCTTTTTCCATAGGTTTCAGGAAAAGGAAGATTCTTGACCTTTTTTTCTGGCAACTCAGCAACACGCCTCCTCCTCTTGGAAGGGGAAGACATCGGTCCTTTGATGACTTATCCTTCCCCTCTGGTGCCTTGTTTTCAGAATAAGATCTTCACCCCCAGAACACTCCTTCCCCCAGTTGAATTTACTAAAGTTATATTTTTATGAAACCTTGACATCATGTGTGTTATTCATAATCTTATTCGGGCCAAGCTGGTGGCACATGCCCTGTCATCCCAGCACTTCAGGGATAGAGGCAAGAAGGTCTCAAGCTTGAGGACAGTAAACTATATAAGGAATGCAAAGCCAGCCAAAGCTACCTAACAAGATGCCTAAAAACCCAAAATAACAACAATCTGTCTTATTCCAAAGGAAATTTAAGTGACTTAGACTATAGCTGTAAAAAAGAAAAAAACTGTAGCGATAAAATAATGGAGTCTGGAATGAAGCTGTTGTGGGCCTGGGGTCACTCAGAGATTCATGATGACCATGAATAAATTTTAATAAGAGGCTTTATTAAATACTGGTTCTGGATACTCATGGCACTGGATGCAGCATCTATTCAGCCCAAGGCCACAAGATTGCATGTATTCTGTCTACAAATAGGCAAGGTCTAATTTTACATGTATGTCTTGCAGTTGTCCTAGCCATTGAGCAGAGTAAGCAAGTTTGATTACAAAAGCAGAAATAGCAGTTAGTCTTATGAACTATTGTCTTGCTATAACAGCAAATTGTACAAGATCTCTCAGTTTAAGAACAGTCTTTACAAGTGGTGGTGGCGATGCCTTTGATCACAGCACTTAGGAGGCAGAGGCAGGCCAACCTGGTCCACAGAGTGAGTTCCAGGATGTCCAGGGATACACAGATAAACCCTGTCTGGGGAAAAAAAGAAGTGGACTGGTAGGGTACAGTCTGTACAAACCAGGGGCTTACATGCTAGAGGCATTTTTTTCTTTCTTTTTCTTTTTTTTTTTTTTTGCTTTTTGGTCTCTCAAGCATAGTAACTAATTGTAATGTTAATTATCACAAGGCCAATACAAAAAAAGCAGTTAGACATATTATACATATATCCTATCCAAATCTAGTTCCTCATTGTAAGGAAACAAAAGTTGGGACTTTGGACGGGTAGAGATTCAACAAACCTTAACCATACGTATTTGAATTTGCTGCCCCGTCCCTGCAGCCAGGCCTTTGTAAATGGCAGTCTGGGTATCTCATACTTTGATCTTAGGGCCTGCCATGGTCGGAAAATTCCAAGTTTGGTGTACCTTCCCTCTAAGACGTACAGACAGGGAGAGGACTAGAACCCAGTGCGTTTCCTGCACCTGGAAAGCCATTTCTCGACAGAATGATAAGCAAGTGGAACTTGGCCGAGTCCCACTTACTTTTGCACCCAGGTTTAAGGATACAGCGGACTGGGGGAAGAGCACATACAGCTCACCTCCGCCGTGCCCCGCAGCCCGGAGTTGACTCTCCTCCAATGAACTTAGGCCCTGGGCCAGCTGGCCCCGCCCCACAGTGACATCACTTCTGCTAACTGCGGCGTCTGCGCACTGTTACAGTACGGCGGAACTAATCTGGTGACGCCCGCGCTTTGGCCCAAGCGGTGCTGGGGAAGGGAAGCTGGTTTCTGCAGGATGCGTCACACCCGGAAGTGAAAGGCCGGAAGTGGGGTTGGACAGGTTATCCACAGGGGTGGGGAAGCAGAGGCCCTGGAAGAAGGGGGAGAATAAGAAGCCAGAGGATCCTGGTCACTACTCTGAATCGTGTACCGGATCTCTTAGATCTCAGAGACGCAGAAAAAGGGAAGGGTGTCTCATCCCGCTTCCTCGCTTTTCGCTTTAGCCATGGCGGAGGCAGGGGCCGGGCTGAGTGAGACCGTCACTGAGACAACGGTTACCGTGACAACCGAGCCCGTGAGAAAGCCGGGCGGGGGGGCCTGTGTAGGGGTCTGGGAGGTACTGGGAGGGAAATAGGGGTTTGGAAAGTTGGAGGGTTTGGGATCTGGGACATGTGGGGTTGAGTCTTGGGAAAATCGCAAGAGACTGGGGATGCTTGGAGTAGCTCAAATCATAAAAGTGACTGGTCAGGGAACGTTTAATCCGCAGTTACAATTAGGTATAGGTGTTATGACTTGGCGTGGTGGTCTGTGTACGTAATAAACGGAAACTGAGTTAAGGAGCACAGAGGGTAGTGGGAGGAAATGAAAGGCCATTTGAGAAAGCATGGTTTTGGAGGCAAGCATAAAGGACGAGTACTTACCAGTACATAGTCATGGAGTGGGTACGTGTCAAAGTGGAGGGAATGAGGAAGCAAAATGAGGTGAAGGTAGTATTTTGACAGATCAGAGAAGAGAGAAGCAAATGAGCAAACAAATAGAATTTTTTGCAAAAACAAGTTTTATTGCTTTCAAAGGGAGAAAGATGTGTTGGGCGTAATAATGTCTGGCTTTGAAGGTGTTTAGTAGTTTAGTGATCATTACCAGAGATGACAGGATTAGAGAGTAAGTGGGTAGGACGTAGAGAGCCCTGGACTTGAGAGAAGAGGGAATGAAGGCTTTCTTTGGAGGAGGAGGGTTTTGGATTTTTTTTTTATTTTGTTTGTTCAGGTGTGTGTGGAGGAGGGGGGGGGCAGAAGTCAGCCTTAGATGTTTCTCAGGCACAGTCTGCTTTTTTTTTTTTTTCTTTTGTTGAATTGAGACAATCATTTTTCACGGAGCTGCCCAAATTGGCTAGGCTGACTGGCAAGAGATCTGCCTGTCTCCACATCTCCAGTACAGGAATCGCAAACGTGCATCACCACTACATCTGACTTTAAAAAAAATACGGATTCTGGGAATCAAACTCAGGAAAGCACTTCACCAACAGACCTGTCTCCACAGCCTTGCTTTGTTATTTTTTAAAAATTTTATTTTGCTCTTGAAAGAAAAAGCTTTACCAAGTTGTAGAGGCTGGCTTCTGACTCAGTCTCCTAAGTGCTGAGATTACATGTGTGTAATCTCTTTAGGGAGAACATGAATAAGAGGTGTGGAGAAAGAAAGGGAGGCCAAAGACCAGTCACGGGGAACTGAGCAAATAACTTTCCTGTATTAATACCACCACGGATGATGGGGAAAGAAGATAAAGAAACAGGGAGGGTTGTGTTTTCCTTTGAAGATTTACTGGCCCTAGGTTAAGAATTGTCTTTTTTTTTTTTTTTTTTTTGCGTACTAGTAGTTTTCAAAAACAGGAATTCACATTCCTCTTGAGCAGGTTAAAAACATGTTCTATTTTGGCTCCCAGAACCTGGCTCCTCCAGAGGTGTGGTGTGTGGTACAGATTGAGCCAGGGAAGAGGACAGAGGAGGTTCCTTGGGAAACAGGAAAGGTCAAGAGAGATTAGCTAGATGGGCCCAAACCTCCTACCCTTACAGGAGAATCGGAGCCTAACCATCAAACTTCGGAAACGGAAGCCAGAGAAGAAGGTGGAGTGGACGAGCGACACCGTGGACAATGAGCACATGGGGCGCCGATCGTCAAAATGTGAGTGCTGCTGCCCCCTGCCCGGCCACGGCCTCCCGAGCCGCTGCCCCCGCCCGGTCACGGCCTCCCGAGCCCCTGCCTCCCATGTGCTGCTTACACTTCTCTTCTTGGTTGGGAAGGAAAATAGATGGGGGTAGGGATAAAAGTATGCGTTAGCAAGTCTGGGGGCAAGCCATGGCAGAGTGGGAGAGAGGTGCTTCTGATTCTCTGAAGAGAAAGGGAGAATGGGTGCCTGAGTCCCCGGGGTGGGAGGCTAAGGAAGCTGGATTCTGGAAGGTGGCACACAGTGGTGGGGGAGAATTTTCACATAGATGTGGTGGAAATGGCACTGACCGAACATTGTGTTCTTCATCCTTTTTAACTGGGTTCCTCCCTCTCCATCTAGGCTGCTGTATTTATGAGAAACCTCGGGCCTTTGGTGAGAGCTCCACCGAGAGTGATGAGGATGAAGATGAAGGCTGTGGTCATACACACTGTGTCCGGGGTCACCGCAAAGGACGGCGTCATACAACCCCAGGACCTACCCCAACCACTCCCCCCCAGCCTCCTGACCCCTCTCAGCCCCCTCCAGGACCTATGCAGCACTAAATCCCTCTCACCTTTCATGTGTCTGCCTGGCCCCAAATGTATCCATCTGGCTACATGGGGACTCAACCCATGGTCTGATCCCTTCTCCTGCCCCCTCCTTCCCTCTCCTGCCTGATAGAGAAGAGGAAGAGGAGGGCGGATAGAGATCCTGGAATTCTGACTTGCTGCTGTTCCAGAACCCAGGCTTCTGGGTTCTCCCAGTTCCCTCTTCCCCACAGTTTGCCCCCTTGCCTGGGATCCAGGCACTGTGGCCCCAGTCTGTCCCTTTTGTTCTCACTGCCAAACTACCTGTCCTGGGATCCAGTTATCTTGGCCACCTGCACCCTTAGCTTGGGTCCCAAGCACCTAAACTGGGTTTTCAGCAGTCCCAGCTTTCACTGCCAGGACCCCAGTTAGATTCCAGGCAATCTTGTACCCCAGCTCTGCATATTAATCCTGGCTTACAGTTCCTCCACTTACGCAATTGTCCTAAATCAGTCCTTGCCTGTGTGGAGACCATAGGGTTCCCCAGCCCTTCTGCTCCTAGATATCCCTTCTGGCCCTTAAAAGGAGTTAGGAGAGGTTTTTGTCGGTCACACTTCTAATGGAAAGTGGACCCCAAAATAGTCGTGACCTGAATATAACCTTTCTGATAAAGCTGGCTCAGACCAGTGACTTAGAGCCAACGATTTTCTCAGCCTTTAATCTTTGAGCTTCAGCACTGTTGTCCAAGGGGCCTGGGTCTCTAAAAGGAAAGAGGGAGAGAACAAAGAGATGAGGGGACAGGCCCCTGCAGTACACTCCTACCCTTTCCTGCCTAGGCTGTGATGTCTCTACCAACCCAGGTGTCTTGCTCTCTCAGCCCTCCCCAACTGGTGCTGGGATCTGGGTGTTGTCCTCCAGACCTCTAGCTGTGCACAGTACAGAGATCAGCAGAACCCATGCCACCACTGAGATCTCATTTATTGCCACAGATGCACAAAATAAATAACCCAACATTACACAATGTGTTAAATACAGGCTGATTTATACACATAGGGAGGATGGGGCTATACAAGGATATTTGGGATGCCTGGGTTGCTCCCTGGTTGAGAAGGTGGGTAGCACCATTGGTTCTTTTGTGTGCAATATGAAGTTCCAAGAGGACATTTAAAGAAAAACGGCTATCAGCATAGAAAACAGTCATAAAAGAAATGTAGAGGGTGGACTGGCTTGCATACACATCCCAAAATTTGTTTTAGGCTTCAGGTCTGAGTGGCTTAAGTTATGAGTTAAGCATCTTATTTTAGGAGAACTTATTTTTCTTGAGGGGAGTCCTCAGAGTGGACATCAGCAGGAGACTCCAGACTTCCTGCGGTGGATCAGGCCCTAGGCCCTTTGGGATTGGAGGTGAATGTGGACTGTTTCCCAGTACTGGTGGTACAGAGCCTTTCTCTATCCCTGTCTGGAATGGTACAGAAAGAGAACTCAAAGAAAAGGTTGGGTTAGGGCATGGAGACGCAGGACCAGACTGGCTTAAAGGCACGGATGTACAAGCCAGTTTGAGGTCTTGCTTTGGGAGAAAGAATGTGAGTGGGTAAAGGGTGCTTATTAATACTCCTGCTGCGGCAGGTGTACAGACAAGATCACTGAAATAGGTGGGGATTTCTGCAGGGAAGATAAGTAGCCTCGAGGCATCCGGGCTAGGCTAGGCTAGGAGGTAGGTGACCAGACCCTCAGCCTTCTCCCGGCACGATGCGCAGAGGGGCTCGGGGATCACACGTGCAGAGCAGCGGGAAGACGCGCTCCCCGAGGGGGCCCGGTGCCTGGAAGGCGAAGAGCAAGTCCAAGGAGCGGCCATCATAGAAGGCCACACGGCCCCTCTCCCAGTCCAAGTCCACGCGAATGCGCTGCGGCGGGGGCCTGGCGCCGCCCAGCAGAGTGGGCTCTGGGGCCGTGAGCGCCCACAGGCGGCCGCCGCGGCCCTCCACGGCCCATACAGCCTCCGATGGGCACAGCTTGATGAGGCCCTTGCGTGTCACGGATTCCCCAGCCGCGCCCACGGCGTAGCAGCTCTCTCCTCCATCCTCATCCTCCGCGGTAGAGTCTCTGAAGGACGCGCCCTTCACGGTCTCTACCTCCCAGCAGTGGCGCCCTGACGCAAAGCCCTGCGCACCCAACACCGCTGGGAGCTGATCGAAGCGCGCGGGACTGTCCAGCGGCTCTGGCGTTCCAGGTGGAGCCAGACTCACGCCGCGGTAGTCAGAGGAGATGAGCAGACCACGGTGTGCAGTGCGAGGGTCAAGGGTCAGATCAGCTGCAGAAGAGAGGCATGGGGGAACACCACATGTCAAATTTCTTGAGTCCGGAACGAGAAGGGTGGCGAAGAGAGAGCGAGTGCACTTAGAAGTGCGTGAGTCCCCAGGACAGCTCGAAGGGTGACTGGGATCGGAAAGAACTAAGGCACAGAGCAGGCGGAGGCTGGCCACCCTGCGCTATGATGCAGCACCTCTGTGGAACTGGATTTGGACAAGGACCATGCTAGTCCAGGGCAGGGACCACAGCGTGGAGATGGGAGGGGAGGCTGTCCGGTTTGTGGTGTTGGTGGAGGAAGAGTAGCTGACCTAGGGAGAATGAGGACTAATACTGCAACCAGGTACAAGCCGCACTGTACATGCCTTTAATCCCAGCACTTGGGAGGCAGAGAGGACAGCTCTCTGTGAGTTAGAGGCCAGCCTGCATAGCAAGTTTCAGGCCAGCTAGAGCTACATAATAAGACCCTTTCTCATGAACAAAACAAAGCATAAACCCTTGAATCTGCAGCATCTGGGTGGGGCTTGGGAGCCAGGTCAGCAAGACTACTGAGAGAGACTGATACCTGATAGGAACCAAAGTGTTTAAAGGAGGGGCAAAGGGAGGACTCCAAGGTATCCAGTAAAACCAGGCCACTCACCCTCGAAGTTTCTATAGGAGGTGTGGCCAGAGGAGAGACAGAGAACAGAGATCGCTAAAGGACCAGAAAAAGCCACTGGCCTTGCAGGTATGGGGTGCTTTAAGGAAATACTTCTTAGGAACTAGAAGTAAATTGGATGAAGTGGGATGGATGTGTGACTAAGGGGTGGAACATCTCTAGGCACTGTAAAAACGAATGGAGAGCTACCTTGGGAATGGGCAAAGGGGTAGGAGATGCTGGAATCTTGGGACCCTTCTCAGAAAAAGCAAGGGTAGAGAGTGAAAGTGGGGATTCCTGAGAGTGATCTTGTACTGTTTGGGTGTACACAAAAGGATAGTGAAAAGTGACTGAGATCTGAGGAATTACAGATTTTGTTCTGGGTTAAATTGTGCCTCCTAGCCAGGTGTGGTGCTACATACTCATATCCTCAGCACATTAGAGGAAGGCAGGAAGGGCTAGAGTTCTGCACCAGCCTGGGATATATAGAATGAATATATATATATTATATATATATATATATATAATATATATATAATATATATGTGTGTGTGTGTGTGTGTGTGTGTGTGTGTGTGTGTGTGTGTGTGTGTGTGTGTTTAGAAAGGCAGGGGGAATTTCAATTTTGTTCCCAAATTTTTCTGAATTTACCTTATGTGGGAAAAGGATTTTCACAAAGGTAATCAGGTAAAAACTGAGATCATTAGGGTGGACCCTGATGCAGTATGACCACTACCTTAAAAGGAAAAGGAGACACTTGGACACAGAAACAGGCACACAGGAAGCCCAGTAAGGTCATATGTGGGTCAAGGGAGTGCTGAGACTTCCCAGAAGCCAGGAGAGAGGCATGGAACAGACTTCTCCTGAGCCCTCACACTTCTACCTCTGTACTTTGAGGTGTGGATGGTTCCTCAAGTCACCGATTTGTGGCACTTTGTTATTTCAGCCCTAGGAAATCAAAACCAATACAGATACCAAAAGGGGCTTGACCATTTTTGACAGCTGAAAGGGAGCAAATAGAGCACAGATTATGATCCCTCCTTTCTTCCCTCCTCACCTGTCAGTCTGTGGAGCATGTTTTTTACCACAGGGTAATCTTCAGGGAGCTCTTCCTCTGAGTTAGATATCTTGGGTGTTGGGACATCAAATCTGGACAGACAAAGGAAGGATCAGGAAGTTAACAGCATTCCTGTCTTTTGATGCTGGTTCTGATGACCCATTTTCCTAACCCACTTGCTCTTAACAGAAACAGGTGAGGCTATACTCCAGAAGGCCTATTGGTAAGTGGAGACAAAGACAAAGATCTGGGTCTGGAGAGGAGGTGATGGCTATGGTTGCAGGTAGTTGAAAGGAAGAAACAGTAAAAATGGAACTCACCGCCTCCATGTCTTCCTCATATCCTGGTATGGGCAAAAGAAAACATGGGCGTGAGTGTCAGGTTCATATTGTGAGGCATCCTCCCCTCCACCTCAGGTGAGCTCTGCATGGTTGATTCTCTCCCCCCTCTTAAAATGATCTCTCTTCCCTCCTCTACTCCTTTATCTCCTGTTCTCCCCTCTTCTTTCACAGCCTTCCCTTCTGTTCACTACAAAATCACTTTCTCCTCACACTCCTCACTCCATCCTCCAAGGGTTCTCCTTTCCTCAGCCTCAACATACCTACTTCTTACATCTTGTTAATCTCCCAGCCCACGCTCTCTTTCAGTAATGCTTTCCTTTCCCAGTTTCTTGAGTGTGTTCCAGACAAATGTCCACCCCTTCACCATAAAAAGTGAACACACCCATATTACTTGAGTTAAGAGTTGTTATATAAAAGCCCAACAATAAAGCTGCTTCCCCTCTTGTCTTAAAAGCTCAGTGGCGTTTATTGGGCTCTTTGTTTTATGTCATCTCAACCCCGGGGGCCTCTGAACTCAGAAGTGTCCCAAGAGGCTCCACAGATTTCATAGGGAACCACGGCAGCCAGAAGAGGGCGCTGGTTTTCTCCCCTCCAAACTCTGGGGTTCCTCCATCCCTCTTTTCGGTGGCCTAGTGAGGAGGGCTAGAGAGGCCAGTGTGGCAAGGGGGAAAGGAGAGGATGGCAATTACACCTAGACTAATTAGGTCTGTGAAGCCTTCAAAGGGCGGAAGTGGGACCCAGGGCAGGAGGGCGGCTAAGGGGAAGTAAACCAGATGTGATCCCCTTGAGGTACTGCGAAGGAATGGGAGTGGTTGATGTCCAAAGGGGCCCAGGAGGGCCCAGTGGGGAGACAGTGGGGCTGTAACGTGGAGACCAGCCAGAGGCCTGCCAGCTGCTCACCCGGACCTCGCCTCCGCCAGTTTCCGCCCCCGCCTGGGGACCTGGGAGGAGCTGAGAACAATAACAACTCACAGCTCAGCTGGAGCTTGTTAGGGGAACCCCTGCCTCACTTTGGATCTGCCCACCACACCCCCACCCCATTTGCCAGTCTCCTAATTTTTCCATCCCTACGCTTCCGCTTTTTCTGCACCCAGTCTCAGCCTTGGCTCCAGTGACTCTGTTCATTCGGTCCTATTACCACCCTCCCTGGGCTCCTCCTCGTCCTAACCCGGGTGTCGAGTCGCATCGCCCCCCTATCCTTTTCTTGCTCCCACCAGTGAGCCTGCTCAGTCCTGGCTCCAATTCCCATGCTCTTTGCAGGAGGCTTCTGAGATCTCCAAGGGACTAAGCATCCTGTCTACCACCAGCGTGTTTCTGCCTCTACAACATCTTAACCTCCATCTCCACTGATAAGACTCAGGCATCTGTCCAGCCTCCTCCTCCTCCCCCGAACAAGTGTCAACTCCTTTCAGCTTTTCCTAACGTCCTTTCTCAAACTATTCACTCAAGACTTGGCCTCTCTCTTTCTCTCCCTTCCTCTTTCCTCCCCCTCCCTCTATCTCTTAAAATTTTTATTTTAGATTCTTCTCTCTTTTTTACTAGCCATCTCTGGATTGGAATTCGCTATGTGTACCAAGATGATTTCGAATTTGCAGCAATCCTCCTGCCTCTGCCTTCCTAGCGCCAAGCTATCTACTACCTACATTTCCATTACGGCTTTAGAGCTAAAAGCACGAGTGCCCGACATTGCTAGGACACCCATAGACCTCTTCTTCACCAACAACAGGAACCCGCAAAGAAGGCCAACCGCCTTACCTCTCCATGCGGGTCCAGGCAGCCCATGGTGGGGATGCGGCCCCCGCGTCGTCTCCCAGTCCGAGCACCAGGCTCCGCCAGTTTCTCTCGCAGCCCACGGCTGATGCGCACCTCCACTGCCAGACGCACGTTAGACCTCAGGCTGCGTCGGGGACACGGCTGGCCACAGCAGGGGCAGGAAGGGGGCGCCGTCTCCGAGCCCGGCGCCGCCGGGGTCCCCCAGCAGCGCGCCAAGCACGCGCGACAGAAGCTGTGCTCGCACGCCAGCAGCACTGGGTCCTCGAAGGGGCCCCCGCACAGCGGACACGTCGCCAGCTGCTCCAGACGCTCCACCAACCCCGGGCCCAGCTCGGGAGCCTCCATGGAAAGCCGGGGTCCGGACGCACCCTGATCCGCGACGGTAGCAGCCGCCCCCGAGGGCGCAGGTGGCGGACCACCCCCGCTGCGTGCTGACTCGATGCCCCTCGTTGCGCCTCCCTCATTCACTTTGCACTTCCTACCTACCCCTCTCCCGGGCTGCCTCGCTTACCCAGATCGGACTCAGCGCGTCTCCTCACCACGTCAGGTTTTATAGGGAGGGAGGAGGCCCCATGCAGGAGGTAAACAGCAGACCTTGCGTAATGCCTCATCTGGTTCTCCCGCTTTCCTAGTAAGGTTTTGGGGAGCAGGGTGTAAAGACCAAGACACCTAGGTCCCAGAGCCTAGAAGGTGAGCACCAGGGCATGAGCTGTGGGCAAGGCGGCAATGTTGGGTTTGGTAGCCCCCCCAACCCCTACCCCGTGAGCGAGTCCCTGAGGAGCGCGAATCTCCCCCTTGGCCTTTGGTGTGCCTTCGGTGGGCAGGGTGCCCAGGCTCGCTCTTGGCATGCGTGCCCACATCGCCAGGGCATGAGTCATCCCAGGTGGCTGGCACACCTACATCTGGGGGTTGGGGGCCCGGAAGCTTGGGTCCTGGACTGTGTGGCTTTGGCAGGCCTCTGAGTGTTGGCATGTGGCTGTCACTCCTGGCGCCTCATCTTCCTGCCTTGCCTATTAAGGTCTGGGGACACCTAGTCTTTGGGATAAGGGCTGGAAGCAGGCAGCTACATTCCTGCCTCTCAGGTTAGGGCTCTCTCTCAGTCCTTCCCCTACCCCCAACCCCCGCCTCGCCCGAAGTTTCTATTTTCTCCATCCTTTTCCTTTGGGTTCTTATTTCCAACGTTCTTTCCCCCCTTTTCTTTGTACCTGACAATTACCTGTTTCAGCCGTCCCAGATCTCTGAGGCCCAGAGACCTGGATCTTCAAAAGTGAACCATACCTAGATCTTCTGCCTGTACTACTGAAGGGAATCGACTTGCCAATTTTCATTTATTTTCAGTTTAAATTGCAGATCCTGGGAGCTCCATTCTGCTCTTTTCTGACCTTTCCTTGTGCCCTCATCTCACTTCCATCACCGTCTCTTCCTCTTTCCATTATTCTTCCCTCCTGATGGGTCTGTCTTCCTGCTCTTTCCTCTTCTAGCTCCCCTTTCTCTCTTCCAAGTCTTTCTGCCTGGATACCTTTGGGGATTTCTGAAAAAGCTTCTGTGTGTCCCCACATGTGACCACATACACCGATGTACATGTATCATGCTCACTGATGCCTAACTCCAGTGTCTAGGAGCCTTTAGATAAACTCAGACAGTACAAAGATCACAAACGAATCTCAGTATTCTCATAACACTGAATGTCAGGAGATTGTTGGGGGACAGAAGAACATACCCAACCAAAACATGCAGAGAGGAACCTTGTCATTAGTTTTATTGTTCATAACAACAAAACAAGGCATTGAGGCTCCACAGAGCAGCAGCACTTTATTAGGCACCCCCTCCAGGCACCCTTCTTCTTCCTCCCCCATAGTTAATAGAGAGGGACTCAAATGTGACACCATGATAAACAAACCTCCACAAATAAATACATGCACATTCACCAATCTCCCAGCTCAACATCAAAATGAGATAAAACTCAGGCAAAAAACTACCAAAATGAGGGTGGTTATGATGGGTCATGCCCATAATCCAGAACTTGGGAGCATGAGGCAAAATGATCGCCATGAGTTCCATGCCAACTTGAGCTACATATGAAACTCTCTCTCTCTCTCTCTCTCTCTCTCTCTCTCTCTCTCTCTCTCTCTCTCTCTCTCTCTCTCTCTCACACACACACACACACACACACACACACACACACAAAAGCAACACTACCCAAACTTTTTAAAAAGGCCCAAATATGATCTAAATCTGTTTTGCAAAAGATGCATTTCTACAGTATATGTGCAGAATGGTACCATGCCCCACAGACACTTCATCCTAATTCCTAGAAATGGAATACATTGCCTTACTTAGAAATGGAGAATGAATTTGATAATCAGTTGAGCTTAAAGAAGGGAGACTATTTCAGAGTACATAGGTGTGTCCACCATAATCACAAGGCTTCTTAAATGTGCAGGGTGAGAAAAAAGAGGAAAACCAGAGCTATCGATCAGCACAGATGTTCTCAGCCTGACATTGCTGGCTTTAAAAAAATATGTTATTTTTACTTGTGTGCATATGTATGTGTCTGCAGGAAAGTGTGTGGGGGAGGGTTGTGGTCACCAGAAGAGAGCATCATATGCCCTGATGTTGGACTCACAGCAGTTGTGAGTCACCCAATGTGGGTGCTGGGAACCTAACTCAGGTCCTCTGCAGAAGCAGCAAGCACTCTGTGTTGGCTAGTTTTGTGTCAGCTTCACACAGGCTAGAATCATTGAAGAGGGGGGAGCCTCAATTGAGAAAATGCTTCCACAAGATATGGCTGTAGACAAACTTGTAGGGCATTTTCTCAATTAGTGATTAATTGGGGAGGACCCAGCCCATGGTGAGGAGTACCACCCTTGGGCTGTTGGTCTTGGGTTCTATAAGAAATTAGGTTGAGTAAGTCATGAGAAGCAAACCAGTAAGCAGCACCCCTCCATGGCCTCTGCATCAACTCCTGCCTCCAGGTTCCTGCCCTGCTCACTGCTTTTGACGATGAATTGCTATATGAAAGTGTGAGTGAAACAAACCCTTTCCTCCCCAAGTTGCTGTTGGACATGGTGTTTCACTACAGCCATAGTAATCCTAGCTTTGACACACTATTAACCACTGAACCAGCAACTCATACAATGCTGGCACTGAGAACTGAAGAAGGGAGCCATGGTGTAAAGAAATGGGTGGCCTCGGGAAGCAGCAAAAGCTAAGAGAATGAATTACCCACTCAAGCATTCATTAGGAGCCATATCCTGCTGACACCTTGATTTTACCCCAGTGAGACATTTGTGAACTAAAGAATTAGAAGACAGCAAATGTAGGGGCTAGAGAGATGGTTCCACAGTTGCGACTCTTTTTTTTTTTTTAGGTTTTTCGAGACAGGGTTTCTCTGTGCAGCTTTGGGCCTTTCCTGGATCTCGCTCTCTAAACCAGGCTGGCCTCGAACTCACAGAGATCTGCCTGCCTCTGCCTCCCAAGAGTTGGGATTAAAGGCGTGCACCACCATGCCCGGCCACAGTTGCGACTCTTACAGAGGACCTGAGTTAGTTCCCAGAATCCACATCAGATGATGCACAACTACCTGTAACTTCAGGTCTTCTGGGCACACCCACACGTAGCATATATTCACACACACACACACACACACACACACACACACACACACACACACACACACACACCATGAGAATTTTAAAAAATTCTTTTGAAAAATAATAAATGAGCCAGGCATGTGGCTCAGTGGTAGAGTGTTCGCGTTGACGCATAGGGCTATGGGTTTGATAAAAAAAACAACAAAAAAGGCAATAAATGTGTGTTGAGAACACTAAATTTGTGGTAATTTTGTTAAAGAAGCTGTAAGAAATTAATAATATGCTAGCCTTTCTCCTGTGTCTTGCCTTTGGGGTCTGTATTTGTGTGGCTTGATCTTGTTGATTTTATTTTTCTGAGACATAATCTTTCTATGTAGCCCCAGGCTACTGAAAATTTGCAGCCTCAAATCTGCGATCCTCTTACCTAGCTGAATACTGGGATCCCAGGGATGTGGCATCATATTAAACTAAGTATGTCTGTTTGTTCCTAATTTCTGGATTGTATTGCTTCTCTTGGCTGCCTTGGGAGTTCCCCTGGTCTTCTATTCTTTTCTTTCTTTTTTGTAAAACAGGGTCTCACTGTGTTCCTAGCTGTCCTGGAACTTAACTATGTAAACCATGCTGGCCTTGAAATCACAGAGAATCATCTTGTCTCTGCCTCCTAAGTGGGGGAGATTAAAGGCATGTGCCACTATGTTCAGCTGGATTATTTCATTTTATTGAGTCTATTTCTGCCTTCAAAGCCTCTTAACAATGAGTTTTTTTCTGGATCTGGGGCTAGAGTACTAGAAAAACACCCTGATTCCCTTCAGTTCAAATGCCTTGCCACGGCCCTCAAGGTCATCCGTGATTCACAACCTTGCCTGGACTTTGAAACCACCAAGTTTCTGGTACCCAGATGACACCTCCAACCAATGGAACAGAACCTCTGGACAGGAGTGCCAGACATCAGCAGTTTCCAAGCTCTTGCATGATGTCTTGCATCATGAGTCTGCAGTAGACCCGCCCCTCCTCTTTTGTTTTTTCTGCTCTGGCTGCAGTACCCTTCTGTTTTCTGTTCCTTGAACATTCCAAGGCTGTTCCAGATGTAGGAACTCTGCACTCATTGTTCCTTCACTTTGGAGAAAGCTCCACATGCCTTTCCCCTCATCTCATTCAGGTCTCAACTCAAAGGCAATATAGTCAGAGAGGACATTTGTTTGTCAGGGTTGGGGATGGCTGCCATGGCTATGCACATGCTAGGAAGTAATCTATCATTGAGCTACATCTCCAGCCCTATAGAGGACTTCATTCACTTATGTTTATTTTTTTTAATTATATGTATATGGTGTGCCTGCATGAGTTTATGTGCACATATTCACAGGTTCCCCCAGAAGCCAGAGGGTGTCTCCTCCCCTGGAGCTGGAGTTATAGGTGGTTGTAAGTAAGGTGCCTGGTGTGGGAGCTGGGAACCAAACCCTAGCCTCTACAAGAGTAAGCTCTCTTACCTGCTGAACTGTATCTCCAGCCTCAATACCACTTCAAGTCATTTTCCTCAAAGGAGTGAATTGTCCTTTTTATTTATTATCTTCATCATCTTTGTCTTCAATATTCCATTTACTTGTTTTTATTTCTATCCAACAGATAATAAGTCCTACAGGAACAGGAATGTAACCTTCATGTTCATGACTGCCTGGCACACACCTGGCCCAATGCCCAGCACAGTGTCTCAATGTCTCTACTCAGTTATTGAGTTACTCATTGTTGATTGGGCAGAGTGGGAAGATCCTCTGACTGATTTTGCTCATCCCATCTAAGTGCCAGACAAAGACACTCTTATCAGTCAGTAGTCCTTCCTCATTGGCAGGTATGGGGGATGGTCCTAGAGAATGCTTGGGTGATAGAAAAGCTAGAGTTCAGTCTGATTGCAGAAGCTCATGACTAGCTGTTGCTTTCCTTCTGTAACCAGGTGGTGAGGACTCCCTCAACCTTTACAGCCTGCTTTCCAACCGTTCACACCTGGTAGTTCTAGGACATGGGTAAAGGAAAAGGCATTTGGACCTGAACTCTGCCAGGAAACATTTCACTTCTCAAGACCTTCTCCCTCCCTCTCCAGACTCCCTAATGAGTTTACCTATTAATGATCCCCTGATCCTCCCCAGAGTTCATTCTATGACCATAAATGGAAGGGTGGAGTTGAGTGTGTGTGTGTGTGTGTGTGTGTGTGTGTGTGTGTGTGTGTGTGTGTGCTGGCTTGGCTTTGCTTGCTCTAGTTGACTGTGACAGAATCCTGCCCCTCCTTAAAGTAGGTGCCTCCTACACAACTGTTCCCACCCCTTTCAGGATGCCTACTTATGGCGCTGTGTTATAGCCCAGTACCTCTGCGTGCTGCTGAGGAACGTTAAAAGTGGGGCAGGCCCCTTCCTTTTCCTTCTCCTTCCTGTTTTTTTTTTTTTGTTTGTTTGTTTGGTTTTTTTTTTTACTCCTTTTGTTTATCCTCCAGTCTGTCTTTCTTCTGTACCAGTAACATCTCATCTTTATAAACAGTCCCTAAGTGTTTAAGCCTTCAAGGAGGGGAGGTAGGCATGAAGAGGTGTTTGGGAGAATGATCTTGGAACAGTCATAGTCCCTGCCCTTAGAGAGTGTGATAAGGCAGGTGAAGTATATCCATCACCACCCCAAATCTATCATTACTAAATTAAGGAGTGTAAGGAGACAGACCAAGTATGCTGAGGTGAGGGGTGGATTGAGGGTTCTTTCTGTTGACAGATTGGAGGACAAGTGGAAGTGATTTCAGAAAAGCCTCTTGGAGGAAGTGACCTGTAAGTGGAAGTGAGAAGACAATGAAAAGACTGAACAAAGAATTTTTTTTGCTGAAAGTGGAAAAGGAAGACCCGGGAGAAAAGAATCACAAATGGCCAACACTGCAATCCTTTTTCAATTTCCATTGATGGTGGCCTTCCCTTCAATCTTGATTGCTCCAATAAATGCTTATTTTTTAGAAAAGATTCTGCAGTTTTCCATGTTCTTTAGTATACTTGGAAGTTCTCCGGAGCAACTGTTTTCAAGACTCGAAGTAGAATCTCCTCCAACTGATGTGTGGTTTGAGGAGGGCTGGGGTTGAGGTGGAGATGTAGGAAGACTAACTGAATCTGACATGTGTTCATGTAGGAATCTCACCCATCCAGCCCTTCTTCTTAGTTAAGCCTAGAATGGCTTGATGAGGAATTTGAACAGGTTCAGAGTTCCTCAGTGGGAGTCAGGCCAGTGTATGACCTACCACTGACCTCTATGGAATGTCCTGTGCTCTTTCTCTTAAGTGTCTTTTCTTCTGAGACTTTGCTTCCTCTTTTCAGACATGAACCCAGGGCTGTGCATCTGAGGGCACATCATACCACTGGCCTGCTCTCACTCCTTCGCTTTCTTTTCTGCCTCTTTACAAATCTTCCCTCCTTCCTTTTATCAGGTCCTCTAAGAGTTGGGTGTTTGTCTTCATGGATGCTTATTAGCCCTCTTCTTGCCAATAACTTTCCTGTAGATGTCATGGATACGTCTTTATCCAGCCTTTAAATATCTACTATTCATTCTCCTCTCTCCAATGTTTCCAAGCCTTCTTTTATCCTCACAGCTTCTTAGCAGTATTCCTTTAAGAGCTGACCATTCACTCACCCATAACATTTCATTCAACAACTATTTTCTAAATACCAGTATGCCTAACACTGTTGAGGAGCTGGGGTATAAAGGAGAAGTCACCGGTGGTTTCTTGTCCTTGGGCAATTTGAATTCTATTGGCAGGAGCTAATAATAAGCAAGTAAACAAATAAATTAGCAAGGTAATTATAGATTATGATAACAGCTTTGGGAATATAAAGTGGATAATATACAAGGGATTAACCAGAGGAGGCATGGAGTAGCTTTAATAGAGTTAATAGATGAAGCTCTTTTGAGGAGGTGACATTTGAGTTGAGCCCTGACAAATGAGAGGGACTCATAGTGAGAAGAGCTAGGGAGGAGTCGTCTAGCTAGCAGCCTTGTAACTAACCAGGAAGGTTCAACATGGGAGTGAGAGATAAGATACCAGAAGCAGGATCTTGGGGTCATAATAAGAACTGACTTTGTTCTCAGCCTTAAGTGAAGAAATTAACTGGTCCAAGTTTTCTGTGTTTGGAAGCTCACCCTGATTTAGCCTCTCTGTTCCTTTTCTAAATCCATTTCCCACGCAATTGACATGCAGAGTGGACATCTCTCTTTCATGTCCACCTCATCATCTTCCAAACTGTGGTATTGTGTTTCCCAAAATATTGTGCACCCTAATAAACTTATCTGGGGTCAGAGACAGAACAGCCACTAGATACAAAGGCTAGAAAATGGTGGCACTCACACCTTTAATCCTAGCACTCCAGAGGTAGAAATTCCTCTGGATCTCTGTGAGTTCAAGGCCACATTAGAAACGGCCAGGCATGGTGACATACGCCTTTAATCCCAAGAAGTGAGCCTTTAATCACAGGGAGTGATGGCAAAAACAGAAAGATATATAAGGCATGAAGACCAGAAACTAGAAGCTTTTAGCTGGCTAAGGTTTCAGGCTTTGGAGCAGCAGTTCAGCTGAGATTCATTCTGGATGAGGACTCAGAGGCTTCCAGTCTGAGGAAACAGGATCAGCTGAGGAACTGGCGAGGTGAGGTGGCTGTGGCTTGTTCTGTCTCTCTGATCTTCTAGTGTTCACCCCAATACCTGGCTCAGGTTTGATTTTATTAATAAGAACTTT